ATACTTCCAGGCTTCATCACCATAGCCTAAGAGAGGCTGTCTGTGGGGAAACTTTTCCAATGTCATGGCACCCCTGATTGTCTCTTACCTCACCTGATGCCAGATCCACTTACACATTCAAACATTTACCCTTCAAAGCAGCCTCTGGGCACTTCTGTGTGGAAGTGCAGGCTGGGTTATCAGAACATAGAACTGTGGCACCTCTGCACTGTGGCACTAAATGCTCAATTCAGGGTCCCAAAATACATGTAAGACCACTGTCTCTTAACAGAGAAGACCAATTAATGAGCTACAGGAAGCACCGAACTATGAAGAGACAAAGCAGTAATGATATCAAACTGCTTGTACTGGTCAAAGCAGTATCTGAGAAAGATGAAAGGAGAGAACACCCAGTGCCAACAAGTACCAAGCTAACACAGGGTGGAAGACTATTGTGAAATACTAGTATGCAATGCTGGGTTTGACATAGGCTGTTATGAATTGGGCATTGTTGTAAGCTCCCTAGAGACTCTGAAAAACAAAGTGTGATGGTATATAAAAATGGAGGGAGAAAAGATATCTTACCTGGAATTCAGTGATCATTTCTGCATATTTCTCTACAAAGTCATCAGACAGGAACAATTAGACACAGGTAAGACAGAAAACAACTAAAGGAGCTTGCACAAGAGCGATACAAACCACTGAAAAGTACAGAGAAGTCATGACGAAGCCTTCTTAGAAAGGTATAAGAGCAAAAGACTAACTTGAAAGACAGCAAATGGAAGAGTAGATATTGAACACATAATTGACTTATATAACTTGCAGCAACAAGATCAATGTAAAAAGATTTAAGCATTTTAAGCTTATTTTTTAATAAGAACTTTTGTAGACTATGACAATCAAAATTACATCAGAGCAGATAAAGCCATTTTTGTGTATATATATATATATGTAAACTTATGGCAGTAGAAGTTCTCCAACTCACAAGAGAGTAAATTATTTTTAAGGAAAAAATCCCCATATCAAAACAGAACTGAAACTCAACTGTCTAGATATTGTGGGGTTTTGCTCTTTGTATGATCAATCAAACATAGTTTGTCTCAACACACTGAGCTAGGTGGAGCATTGATCTTACTTAATTTGGCAAATTCTGCTGGTCTTGCATGTGTTGGTTTTTTTTTCTGTGAGTTTAAGGAATGGTACCACTAAGCAATGAATAGACAATACAAGGGATTATATGTGAGTAATATCCTTTTATCTCTGGTGTTGCTTTGCTTCTGAGTCTGGGCAGGTTGTCTGAGGGTCTGATTTTTCAAAGGTCAGTGCCTTTAATGAGTGATTGTTATCTGATATTTGCATTATACATATGAAAATACAGCATTCAGTAAATCTTGTCTGTCTTCATAATCAGTAATACAGTTATCAGATATGCTACATGGGCAATTTAATTCTAGTCACCCATAGCAAGTCTCCTTGGTAGAATAAAGAAATATCTTCGTAAGTGGTCATCTTTTTGTGAGCATTCTTTTTTTCCTAACAAAAAGAGTGTCAGAATTGCAGTTGTAATGCATTTGATTGTTGCAGTTTCCACTGCAAAAGGCAAATTGGCATACTTTTTGTTACTAGTCATTTATGTAGAAGTAGTGTTTGCTAGGCACTTTATGGAGAGATTATAGAAGGGAATTTCCCTGAAGAGGTTACAGTGCAGAGAAGCTACAAACTGGTTCAGGAGCAGAGATGGGAGGCAATAGAGCACAACTGTCTGAAAGCAGACATGGAGTGTCGAGTGTCTCCTGCCTCAGATCTGTAATTTCCTCTTTTTTAATGTATGGCTATGTTGAACTTTTTTACTTACTTTTGCACAGTGATGACTAAGATTATAGGGATTGTTAGGAAAAGTCACATAAAAGCAATTTCATATGGGGGAGAAAATAGATCTTTTTCCTCCTCACTTGCCATAGCCTTATAAATTGTGACAGATTTAGCTCAAGCTTTTCAGTATAATCATTCCTAATTGATTACTTTTGCATTGCTTTTGTAAAATGTCGTCTTGCTGCTGCTGCTGGTTGAGTGGATTCTCAGTTAGAAACTGTTAATGCTTTTTAGTACTATAGTTCCTGTAACTGTTAGCAGCTGAGGAGCAGATACATAATCTCAGCTATCCCTGAAGTGAACTTGCAAGAGACTTTCTAGGTCTGCAAGCTCGGTTTCTGTTTGTCATGTATGGGCTTATTTTACTGCATCATCCAGAAAGTTACTAAGTTTCATCTGGCTACATGTGAAATATAGCTGCGTTCTTTCCCCTGTACTGAAAGTGGATGGCTGCTCCAGAACTCTTCTCTGAAGCTTAAAAGCCTTTTGCTGATTTGCAAACTAAACTTATTCATGCTATAGCAAAGCTATTTGTTTGTGTGGCGATATTATTCTTCATCTAAAGCATTTCTTTTCCCTTGGTAGTACTTGTATGCTGATGCATTAATAGGGAGATACTGTATCACTTTTCAGCCTCAGTTCAGCTCTGCCAAGGAAGCCACCACTTTTATCTTCCTCTCATAAAATAGTCTTTATTCCCCTGATGGTTTCCATAACCTTTCTCTGCTCTACTTCCAGTGTAATTTTTTAAATATAGGTACCAGAATGAGGTAGATAGTCCAGTTGAGATCTGATCTGCGTATTGCTCAAGTAACACACCTATAGTTCTGCTTAAAGAAGACACCTTGATGTGAAGAAGCATTGCAATTGCCTTTTTTTCCTTTGTGTTGCATGGGTCAGTTTTAGATAACCTGTGATCTACTCAAAGCACGCATCTTTCTTCTCTTCCAAACTTGGAGTTGGTAGTTGCAAAATGCTTTCAGGAACACTAAGCAACTGGGGCTGGCCCTCTTTATGGAAAGATAGAAAACAGAATAGGAGAAAATGGTTAGTTCTTGGAAGGAGGGGAACGTCACAAGGCTTCTTCCTTGGAGGTGTATGTTGGAGCTTGTGCAATTCAACAAACTCATAAATGACCTGGAAGAGGGAGGTAACAAAGTTTACTAAAGACACAAAATTATTTAAGGCAGTAAGGGTGAGCTACAGAGCTATAAAATCACACTTGAAAACGAGTGTGGATAAAATGTTAAGTCATGCTCACAGCAAAGCCAGTCATAGTTTCATGTATGAAGTGGTGAGCTCTGCACTTACAAAGTGAGATCCCTGCACTTAGGAAGTGGCATCCCTGCATACCTCTGAGGGGCAAGATTCTGGGCAAAGAAAGTGTCAGGTCAGTGGCAGTCAGAACTGCCAGTCAAAAGTCCGGCATTATTAGGGATGGAGTAGAACACAAGGTAAGAAATTTCTGCAGCTTCATAAATCTGATTCAGCTGCATCTGGTGAGCCCTGTGCAGTGCTGTTTCTCTTATCTCAAAGGAAATAAAGCAAGCAGAAGGTGAGCAAGGAAAAAAAAGCCATTAATTAGTACACTGTTCTGTGGTTCAAAAGACATTGGGTAAATTATTCATAATGTCATTAAAATTCAAATAAAACTGAAGTTTCCTGTTGAGTTAGCTAACACAGAGAAACTGCCTCATGTTTCTTTTCTAAGACTTCATATGTCATAGTGATAAGACGTTTTGCCTGCCTTTCCTTGTCTGGAAGTGTCTGTATGCATCTTAAATAAAAAGAACATTTCCTTTTCTTACTCCACTGGAAAACTTAAAACAGTAATCCTTCTACTATAAAATTCATTAATATAGAGGAGAAATCTCTTGTGTTCTTATAAAACCTGAAGGCAATTGCAGAGCAGCTGGTTTCACAGGGGAGCAGGCAGGGGGTTCCCAGGAGACATTGGGTAATATCTGCTTGGTCCACTGTTGCACTGGGCAGACTGGGTGAGTGCAGAGTGACCCCAATTCAGAAGCAGAAGCAGCATAACCCTCTGTGCACTGGGCTCTGCCTGTGCTCCTCAAGATAGCTAGTTGCAGTAGCTCTGGAAAATGCCTTGCTGTACAGCACGAGCATAACCTGAATGAGCTGGCAGATTTGGGGCTGCAGAATTGCTAGGGCCTGTCTGCACTTGCTTGGCTTGATATCAGTGTATAGAGTGCCCAAACTAGATGTCAAGAGATTTCCTCTTCCTTGCTGCAATGAAAACAAAATACTTGTTTGGTTGGCAAGCAGAAGAAAGCATTCCTGGTTTATGCTGGATTTACTGTTCTTTTTTGTGCCTATGATTTACATTTAGAAGCAGGCTGACTGGCAGACTGTGTTTTGGCAGAATAGCTGCTTGTGCTGGATACAAGATATATTGCACACTTTTGTGGAATAGAGATTGCTGGCCATTACCAGCATATACACTAGTAGATGCATTCCTGCACTCTGAACAGATCACTATTGACATCTCTGGTGTGTAAATGGCTAGCCATTTACAAAATCCAGCCACAGTGGTTAGATCCCAGGAGTTTTGCTGTGAAGATATTTGTTCTGCTTTTAGATATCTTTTTGGGTCATCATCTAAACACTCTGCAGTAGCATGGAAGTATATAGCGTGGATGCTGATTGTAATACTTCAATGTAATGTAAATTATTTTCACGTAAGGTTGCTACAAAGTAAAAGAAACTTTTCGCTGAGGTATGGATTATTCCACTTAACAAGGTGGGTAAAAAATGCTACATTATTTTGTAAAACTAAACAAAAAAAGTCAGCAGGAAAACCCAGAATAAAACACAGATTTCCTGGCATAGGCTCCCACTTCTTAGGCATTAAATCCTTCTCCAAAATAAGCATTTATACAACTACCATCACAATTTTGAAATATAAATTTATTTATTTACTTTCTTATTGCTAGTACTTAGGCTTTGTTTGCCTGCTTAAAACAGACCTTTGAATGGCATTTGTGAAGAGTAGCAGAATTCAGATTAGCAATAGTGAAGCATTTATGAGAGGGAAAAGGGTGGGGGTTCTCACACAGTGTAGCCAATATCAAATTGGTATGTGAGCTGCCAGCTTCAGCTCAGCCTGTGCCTCCTCTGCTTTCTTCCAGGTTATGGACACACAGTGCCTTTATCTGATGGAGGAAAGGCCTTCTGCATCATCTACTCAGTCATCGGGATCCCATTCACACTGCTTTTCCTGACAGCAGTGGTACAGCGCATAATTGTATATGTCACCAGGCGGCCTGTCCTGTATTTCCACATTCGCTGGGGCTTCTCCAAGCAGATTGTTGCAATCATCCATGCTATAGTCCTTGGGTTCATCACTGTCTCATGCTTCTTCTTAATCCCAGCAGCAATATTTTCTGTCCTGGAAGATGACTGGAATTTTTTGGAATCTTTTTACTTTTGTTTCATTTCCCTGAGCACTATTGGCCTTGGAGACTATGTGCCAGGAGAAGGCTACAATCAAAAATTCCGGGAGCTGTATAAAATCGGAATTACATGTAAGTGTCAAACTAACCAGCTAAATAAAAGACATGTTATAATAATAATTAACAAAAAAAAATTGAGGCTTTCCCTCTCCATTCTGGGGATGGTGATTTTGTGAGCTGTCAGCTAGCAAAGTGGGCATTTGTAGGTAGCTGCGCAAGGAGAAAACCTTTAAATAGGGTTAGTTTTCTTAGTTAAGAAAGAAGAAGCTAAGGCCAGAATTCCATTGTGCTAAACCATAGCTGATTACTCTTATTACTAGTAGGAAAAAATTCTTACATTATTGTTATGAAAATGGTTATGAGCATCTTGGGCTAAAATTTCAGTGCATCACAGACCCAGGAAAATGATCTCATAAGGTGAGATGAGAGGTGGACAGCCATGAATTGAGGAGCAATAGGAAATGAGGCAGAATAGCAAAGTTTCTGACTCCAGTTGTAACAGAAGGTAGCTGAAGCTGACACTGGTACATACCAGTAGACAAAGATGATAGCAAAGCAAGACCACAAGTGTTACATTTATATTGTTTCATTACATTTGACACAGAAGGAAAGGCATAGTGATCAGTGACTTTCTCAAAGTAGAGCTAAGAAAATTACCTTTGTGTTGGCATTCTGAATTAATATGTGCTGAGGGCATTATTCTCCAGTGACAGTGCTTTGAAGCGTCCCAGCTTCTGGTACAGCTTCAGTCTGCGCAGTCCTAGCTCATCAGATGCACCGCCTAAAAGAGCTGAACGGCCAAACCAAACCTTTCCTGTCAAGTCCCCTTCTTAGGCTGGTATGCATTTGTCTCTGCCTCTGTACCATCTTAACATAGGTAAAGTGTCCGTGAACTTGGTTTTGTGTTTTATCTAAAGAGAGACTGGGCCTTGAATTTTTTCATTCCGTGAAGCAGGGCTTTGAACTAGCCAACAGAACACTTTATTCTCCTGCCTTCATTGCTGGAGATTTCCCCTTCTACCCATTGTGTTTAACTTACCAGCAGTAGCTTTTAATCACTACCCTATTGATCAGCAGAGTAGATATGTAGATATGGGGATGCTAAATGATGAAGTGAATGGAGAAAGTCACACATGGTAATGGCCTTCTTAAATATTCTAGCCATTCTGAAGACTCAAAGTCAGAAGAAAAATTATGGCTCAAAATTTAGAACACTTAGGAAATAAATTTCAGGAAATACTAAAAGGAAAAAGAAGCATATGTTTGGAGAGGGGGAGAAAAAGGCAGAGCGGGCTATTAACCATATGAAACTCCATTTCCAAAAGTCAGTCTATGAGAGCTATTACCTTTAAAAATCAGTCAGTAAAGCACCAAAGTCATCAGTAATACAATTCAAGTAACACTTCCAGGTTTGGATAGTTTATGCATATTAGTAAAACACTGCAAATGATCTTCAAGCTGTTATCAGATATAGCAACTCCATCGGGTTTTTAAAATAGCAGTAATTTCATGGGTTTTTTATTTTCATTTTATTGGGTTTGTACACGTTTCTGGTTGCTTTGTTCTCCCATTCATTTCAGGGTGTTAGGTACCTTCTTGTAATTTCCAAGGAAAAGAATTCAAAAGTTTTCATGCAATATATGTGATTTGTCCTGCTAAACTGGTACAAACAACAAATAACCATATTTAGCTGCCGCATTGTTCCTTCTATTTGTAACATGTAGGGATATTAAGGGAAAATCTTTTGAAGAGCACTAAAAAATGAAGATAGTAAATAAGTGGGGGAGCATGCATGTGGTAAGTTTTAGTATTCTGTTTCATTTAATGTCTTTACCCTTGTACAGTTGTAACAAAACTTAAAGCCACTAGTGTTACTTTTGGGGGGTTTTATGTGGGTTCTTGTTGATTGTAGAATGAAAATAGAAAAATAGGATTTTACAATCTAAAGTGCATCACAGAGCTCTGAAACTGGGTCATAAAGGAAATTAGCATACTGTTTGGAGATGACAGGGATGGGAAAAGTTACAGGGTTAAAATGTTCCAGCCCCACTTAATTTGCTAATAATTGAACACTTTTTCTTTTTTCTTTTTTTTTGCACCTAGGTTATCTGTTGCTGGGCCTTATTGCAATGTTGGTGGTTCTTGAGACTTTCTGTGAACTCCATGAGCTCAAAAAGTTTAGGAAGTTGTTTTATGTGAAGAAGGACAAGGAAGAGGACCAAGTGAATATAATAGAACATGACCAGCTCTCCTTCTCTTCCATCTCAGACCAAGCAGCCTCCATGAAGGACGATCAGAAGGCAAACGAGCCCTTTGTGACTTCCCAGTCCCCAACTTCCAATGACAGCTCTCTAAACAATTAATACAGGGGTATCCAAACCGTTGTTTGGTGCATTTATGCTACTTACCATAAGAAATAGAACGCCTCATATTTTTTTTTCTGAAAATATAAAAGCTGGAAGACTGTGCTACTTTAACAAGGACTCATCATTTCTGACATAGAAAAGACTTCTGGGAAAAATGTGGGAGCCACCCTGGGAATAGGGAAAAAATGCAGGATGTGGCTGGGAACATTAGGCCATTTTGCTTGAGGGATAAGGAGTTAGGTGTACTGTTTTCAGAGGTGCCAGAGAAAAGTTTACACAAGCACCTTCATCCAACATCTTTAGGAGAGTAGGCCTTCACTGACGTCCAACTCATTTAATTGCACACCCCATCTTGCAGCTGGGGGACAGAGCAAGTTTTGGGATGTGCACTTTTGATTATCCAAAGTGAGTCACAGATTTAATCCAAACACCAAATATCTTAATCTGGAAAACATTTTCAGAGTAGTACATATAGATCTCCTGGAGGTGGGAGTGTCTAGATCATCCCTGTATTACTCAGTAACTTGCAGGTGCAGATAATAATTCTAGGAATGAAAATACAAGGCTCTGGTCCCTCCTTTGCCCATGCCATTTACATTCAAATTTCCTACCTTGTTAAAAGGTCATCTAATCACAAGAAAAATGTTGTCCTGAAGAGAGTGTGCCTTGAATCTTCCATGTTGTTCGTATGAAATACTTTTGTAAACTCTGAGAGATAGCAAGAGCAGTTCAAAGTGCTGGGTGAGATGGGGTTGCAGGGAAGGGAGACAGATGCATTTCAGTCCTCCGTTCTCTGAAATGGGCAGGAGTGCATTTTTAGCTATGTGGAATGAGATGAAAAAGAGTCAGCATATGTCACAGTTGGCATAGTCATGTCCTTGTTGGCATAGTCATGTCCTTATGCCATTCTCCTAGTAGATGATTGAAATCTATTCGGCAGAAGGACTCAACGCTGTTTCTTCTACAGTCCAACCCAGTGTGTACTCTTTGCTGAGCTGATAGGTAAATGGAGGAACAGAAATAGTGTCACCTTTGAACGTAGCCCTTTTTCTTCTTTTGCTTTTCTAACTAGTACTAAAGCACTTTAGAGGAAAAGGGAATGCTTCAGGGCAAAACCATTTTTCAGTTTTTCATATGGCAAGAAAAAAGGAAAAATGTCACATTTGGTTCAGATGGAACCGAATTTTTTTCCCCTTGGGAAAAGTCACTAAAAAGTCAAGATCTTGCTGAACTTCCAAAGCTGGAACCTCTTTGGCTGTAACAAGAGAGGTATTTTAGTCCAGCTACCAGTCACTGTGCTGAATGCAGGGACCGCAGAGGGAATTTCAGTGAGCAGGAGATGAGACTTAAGTGGTTGTAGTACTCTCTCTTCTGGCCTTAAGTATCTACAGTATGGGAGTCCTGATAATGCTTTGCAATGAACAAAAGATCTGGAGCACAAATAGCCATACTAGAACAGCCTCCCACATAGGTGTAGTGTAGAGGAGAGTCTTTTCTCTGCGATGCGAGCATGCCAGATTGCGTGTAATTTGGCTTTTAGTATTTAGAGCTGAATATTTTACTGTAAAAGAAAAAAAATAAATGGGTGTGTCCAGATGTAGCGCACATGGGAAAAAGACTTGAAAGTAAATAACCCAGAATATACTGTGTTTGAGCTTAATTATAGCTTGCATCAAACAGATTTTATATCTTTACCGGAAAAACTTACTTTGTGGCTAAATCAGCTGAAAGTCTTCAATTAAAAATTATATTTATAGAAAACCAGAGCTAAAGGTTTTGGTTGTTTTGGGTTTTATAGATTAGGTGAGAGAGCATACTGTCTTTGCATGTTCCCAGGAAAGTGGCTATTTTTATACTGCTTAAGTGAACACAATTCTATTTATAATGAATGTTAACCAATATATATGTACATATATACATAAATATATTTATATACTGTACATATATCATAAATCACCAGAGTTTAACAGACTTAGGAATGGCATTCTAGATATTTTATTTTTTTTCCTAGGCATCTCTTTATACAGTCAATAATTGAAAATTGCGGCATTAAAATGACACATAAAATTAAGAGTACTGTGCTACAAGAAACATTTGTACTGTTTTTTTCCAGTGGAATTTTATTGATTGTTTTCAGTACCTTAAAATTCAAGATTTCTTTTTATTTCAGTGTAATATTAAGCTCTAAAGGATATGCACAGATGCTAAATATACAAAGTTAATTTTGCAGTGTGTACACAATTGCAAAATGTAGACACATGAAATGAAAGCACAGAATTCAAAGCAGCAGCGATAAACTAAGCAGTATACTGTGATGTAGGCGAGTATTTGTTATTTTAAACTTAAATAAAAAGTCTGGCTTTTGCCTGCCTGCCCTATGAAGTGGAGATTGTTTTCTTTAGTGATGTGTGTGTACACATACTGTAGAAAAATCCTTTCTGTGTTTGTCAAGATTGCACATCCTTTAGTTAGCCCTCCTCTGCTCAAGGTGGGACCATTAACGCCAGTGTGTTAGCTACCCTTGATATTAACTGTAGCTTAGTACTGTGTTGATTATTCATATAGAAAAAAGGCATTCCAAAGTGTGTTTGGTTTTGTTTCGGATGCTGACTGATTATACCAAATAAAAAATAGTGGCATGATGTGTATCTTGTCTATATAAGCTAACTACTCTGATATTTGAGGAAATCTGAAAAAAATGTCACTGCAGCTTATCGGTACTACTGATGAAAACAGTGGCCTTCATTTCCTACACCTTTTAAATCTTCATGTGAAGACAACATACAAGATCAGAATAGTTAAAACTGGAATCCAGATTAGAAGGAGAAAGATTATTGTGCAGGAACTATAGTACAATGTGTGTATCTTTCCTAGAAGGAAACCACGAAGAGGGTGCATATAAACCCAAATGGAGCACAGGGTAATAATACAATGGTGCTGAAACAGAAGTTGCAAGAGGAGTTTGAAATGTGAGCAAATTACGTGTACAGAGAAAAGAATTTCCTCGGTCCTATCCTCACTGTCATCAGTCGATCCAAGCATACATTCTATGACTAGTTTTGTTAGCATGCTGCATCTAGCATGCTATATCTACATTTGCTATCTTTTCTTTTAGTCATTAAATATAAACGTTTTATTATTGTTTCAAGTGAAAGAACTGGCAGGCCATTTGGTTGTGTTGGAAGAAAGAAAATGGAAGAACCCACTTCAGTTTTGATCTTGGAGCTGAGTGACAGTCCCTTTGAGAACATGTCCTCTTCCCTAAGAATTTCTTCCCAAGGTTCAGCAATGGCACAGTGTGAGTGAGCACAAGACCTGCTGAAGGCTGAAATGAGTAATTTTCAAAGTAGGTAACTTCAGAGACTTGAGTGGTTTGGAGCTTTAATGCCACCCTACAAAATTTACCTACTTGGGTGTTTATGTCAGTATAGTTGCTTAAGAGCAGCAGTTCTGGATTACACTAAATTTTGGTCTAGCCCAGTATCATGTCTCTGGCAGTGGCCAAGATCAGACATATGAACTTGTGTAAGGAGAGGGCAAGCATAAGCATGTTGAAATGTGCTTAGTTCCCTGGAATATTCTCCTAGCTCCCAGCAATGGGTAGCTCTGAATCTGTGATCTAGGAGGTGTGGAAAGTTGGTGCAGGTAGAAGACATACTACACTGGGGAGCATGCTTTCTGTTAAGGTCAGTAAGAGACTGTCCCAATCAGGATCAAATGAAAATTACCTATTACTTTCCGGTAAGGCAGTTTCAAGTTAAGTGCTTTGCAGTAACCAGGTTTGAAGCAAAAGAAAGTTACTATAACTGGAAGCAGTGTTACTCCAGATGTGACCCAGTACAAAAGAATGTGGTTTCTCTTTTCTGCCTTAGTAACTGTCGTTATTGTAGTGTGTATTGAGAAGCTCCTAGACAGAAAAAAAAAAAAAAATTGTGTATCTTCACGTTGCTTGTTTCAGACAGAAACAGTCATTTTTGAAGTCACAGGGATTAGGTTTGGAAATTCATGTGCTTGATAATGCATATTAAGTACTTGATGTATGTCATTTTTAATGCCTCATCACTTCCTAAGTTATGATTTACTTGCTTTTTATTGTGGATTTCTTGTCTCAATTATCTTCAAAGGTCATCACATTGCCACTGCTTATGAGAGCTGTGATGCAGTTATTTTTCTGGCGATGATGTAGGTCTGTCAGAGCCGTTGCTTTAGCTCACAACGAGACTACCTCATGTGTGGCAGTTGGGGCCAAATGATAGATTTAGGTAATGAGCAGGGACAGTGTGTCTGGGAGCAGGTGCACGGGCTGACAGCCAGTGTCAGAACAAAATCATCTGCTAAGTGACCACATAGCTTTCACTAGGCTTCATTGCCTTTCACTAGGACTAAGAGGAAAATGCTTCCATAGGAAGGTAGGAGAAAGATAAAAGTCGGGATAAAAGGAAGACTAGGGAGAAGGTGGGCCCTTGCTGGGAGGAAACATGAGACCTGTTGCCTGGGACGTGGAGAAGGCTGAGGTACTCAGCAACTTTTTTGCCTCAGTCTTCACTGGCAAGAGCTCCAGCCACACCGCCCGAGTTGCAGAATGCAGGTACTGGGAGAATGAAGAACCACCTGCTGTAAGGGGAAGATCAGATTCAAGAACATTTAAGGAGCATGAAGGTGCACACATCCATGGAACCTGATGTAATGCACCTGTGAGTCCTGAGGGAAATGGCACATGAAGTTGCTAAGCCACTCTCCATCATATTTGAGAAGTCATTTCAGTCTGATGAAGTTCCCACTGACTGGAAAAGGGGAAACATAACCCCCATTTTTTAAAAGGGATAAAATTCAGACCTGGGGATTTTTTAAAAGGGATAAAATTCAGGCTGGTCAGTCTCACTCTGGTGCTTGGTGAGATCATGGAGCACATCCTCCTGGAGGCTATGCCAAGGCAGATGGAAAATAAGGAGGTGATTTGTGACAGCCAGCATGGCTTCACTAAGGGCAAATCATGCCTGACAGGTTTGTTGGCCTTCTACGAAGGGGTGGTAGCACTAGTGGATAAGGGAAGAGTAACTGACATCATCTGCCTGGACTTGTGCAAAGTATTTGGTGCTGCCCCACACAATATCCTTGTCTCTAAGCTGGAGAGACATGGATTTGATGGATGGGCCACTCAGTGGATAAGAAATTGGATGGATGATTGTGCTCAAAGAGTTGCAGTCAACACGCTGTCCTGAGAAGCTGTGGATGGCCCATCTCTGGCAGTGTTTAAGGCCAGGCTGAATGGGGCTTTGAGCAACCTGGTCTGGTGGAAGGTGTCCCCGTCCATGGCAGGGGGTGGAACTGGATGATCTTAATGTCCCTTCCAACCCAAACCGTTCCATGATTCTATGGAGGACACTGCCAAAAGTAATCTGAAACAAAATTCAATGGATTTGGCTTTTTCACAATTTGTCTATAGTCTGTGGCTCTCTGTTACTTCAGTTACACCACATACGGTACAAGGCAGGAAAACAGCCTGGCTTTTCCCCAGTGTTCCTGTCTGACTGAAGTGCATTATGCTTGTTATAACAGGTTTTCCTGCATTAAATTCACTGAGCACTCAGACCTGTGAGCAGGAAGTATCGCTGCTGAAAATTTTTGGGGGCACTGCCTGACCCTGGGACTGCCTCCTTTTTTTAGGCTTCAGGCCATCTGGAAAGAGAAGAGGGAACCCTCTATCCTAAAAAGTGAGAAACCAACTACTGGGAAGCTCAAAGCTCCCCAAACCCATTTTGTACTAATCCCAGAGGTCTTGCAGTCTTGAGCATATAGCGTATATGTAGAAGTATCCAAAATACCACACAGAACTACCACTCAGGTTCTCTTTGCCCAATTTATTGAGATCAGTCAACCCACTCAACCTTCTGAATTTTTCTTCCCCATTCAAGGATGTGACACGCTATTCACTGACCATCGTAAGCACTCACAGGTACTTACCTGGGCCACTTCAGCAGGCAGCAAGGTGAGATTAAGAGAGCAGAAGGGAATTGTATACCATCTGCCCGAAGGAGGAGCGGTGATGGGAATAGGTGAAGGGACAGGCAGTCACTGGGAAAAACCCATCTCCACCCATGAGAACATGCTAACTTCAACCGTAGCCACCACTAAGGGGACCAGTTATTTCTAAAACTACTTACAATATCTGGCATATAAGGACTGTACGATTCACCTGGCTGTGCAATGTATGTCAGCCAAAGTTCATGCTGCTAGTACCATAATGAATATAAAAATTAACAGCTCATCCAGAATAAATAAATTATTTTTCATTTTAAGTGCATCGTTGTTGTGCTTCTGGGCATTATTTAGACTCTGATGTTATTCTGGCCTGCAGTGCTGCGTTACCCTACAACTGTAAAGCTTCTGTCTCAGCCACGCATGGGCAAAAATTAATTAGCATCTTTGCATAAATAGAAGACAGCGAACTGTAGTAGCAGCTTAAATGGGAATTAGCAAATCTTATTCTGCTTTCCTGGGCTGGTTTCCTGATTATGAGCAAAGATCTGTTAAATTTCTTCAGGGATTGGCAGCTGTGATTTGAAGCATGCTTTCTGAACAGAAATGCAAAAAATGTTGCTATCCAGTAATAAAGTACAATATCACCTTTGGGATTAAGTCCCCCAGATGTTTAGTTAGCTGTTTTTGCAGATTAATCCTGTTTGCACAGAGCAGTAAGGCCTTGTTTGAAATTTAGTATGCAAAAATTAAAATCCACACTCCATTTAACTCAACTGCATGTTCAGAGAAAAGAAAAAATCAATAGGAAAGAAGATGACCTTACTTTGTACCCCACCTCCCAGGGAGCTTGACCTGCTGCTGCTGATGATCCATGCCCACAGCTGAGAAAATCCCCTGCCTTTCCAGTCCCATGCAGAATGTGAAGCCGGGCAGTCTTTGCCCTAGGAAGGCTTGCAAGCAACATCCCCAGCCTTGAGAAGACAGGGCTGTCTCGGGGAGCACCAAGAGGAGAGCAGCAGGCTCCATGGGACCTGCAAGAGGAGTGAGCACATCACCTCTGAGGCTAAGGTAAGCAGCAAAGAGGGCCAGCAAGGGAGGGGAGATAATGGGACTTGGAGGAGGCAGGAGCAGCCAGCCTGCTCCAGCCTGTGGGGAAGAAGCTGCACCTGTGGCAGCATGGAGAACAGAGTGAAATAATTTTATATCAGGGTTACAAGGGGGGAAGGAGAGGAAGAGGAGAGGGGTGCTTTTTGAAGTTACTTAGCTTTTAATCATCTGAGTTGGGGGGGGCTTTGAAGTGTATTGCAAAGAAACAGAAGTAGGAACTAGCAAATCTGTAACAATTAGATGTTGAGAGGAAAGGTGAAAAGATGGTTTTCTGTCTTTCAAAGGCAGAAACA